CCCTGGCTGCCAGGAGGCAGCGGCAGTCGGCTGAGGGCTGAGACTCTCAGCCACTGGAGACAAGTCGCCTTTGGAGGAAGGCAGCATGAATTGAATTAGCACTGTCGTGGGGTATGATGGCCAGGTACTTGAATGTAAATCTTCGTTTTCAGCTGATGTATTTTGTTTCTGTGGAAAAGTTGAAAATTTCCAGGAGAATTTTTTTTTTTTCTCCAAAGAAATTTATATTAGAAGAGGTCCCAGGGGCTAGAGCTTGAGTATTGCAGCTTGGAGGGTACGCCAATGGTCAGAAACCTCCAGTGCCCATACCTCTGCAGAGCACATACTGCCCTGGCATCTTTCTTTAGCAAAGGGTGAAAAGTACCTGTTACCTCCAGTGAGGACGTAAAAACTTTGATAGCCGATACAATTGTCTTCATCGCATGAAAAATGTTCAGCCTTAATATATGCATGTGTAGTTTTCTGCTGGACTTTGTGTCCAGCGGTGGTAGCGGTGAGTGCCTGTGTTGTATGCCATCTGCAAATGCGTCAGAAGAAAAATGAACAGGAAAACTCCCTCTGTTAGGAGAGAGGGGAAAAAAAAAGGAAGAAAAAGAAAAAAAGTATCTGTTACATTCCAAAATCAGTCATAATAATGGAAGTTCACATCAGATAAATTGCCAGAGTCAGAATGGACAAACATCTGGTTTATTCATCCCTAACTATACTAACAAAAATATGATATCCGCTTAGATAAATCACTGGTCATCCTAGTTTATCTTGGCGGTTGTGCACCTTGGTATTTTTCACTTAAACAAGAACATATCAGTACTTTACAGCTAGCATGCCTCCAGCTCCAGGTTCACAGTTCATGTGCTTCTGTGACTTTGAACTCTTCTTTTCCTGAGTTTACCAGCAGACAGCTGCACCAGAACAGACATGTTTACATGTGGGGAGTAAATGGCAGCTTGCAGCTCAGAGTTTCCATTTCCTTTTACATTGTTCAGGAATCCAGGCTCACAATTCGTGTCCTAAAGCTTCACCTCATGTAGAAAGGGCTGACTAGGGAGAAGCTACTTTCACTAGAGATTACCCTCAGTTTACATGAAGTTCAATTGTGGGTGAAATATCTCTTTAAAAAAAATCTAAACATTACTTTCTGTAAGGCTTTTTAATCAGTATGTAAATGTGAGGCTAATGTGGAACTACTTTATGCAGCTATTGCATGATAGAAGTATTTTCAGGCAGAGAAAAAATACTTTTTTTTATTAGGCATGATGATGAAATCTGATTAGCTGCTTAAACCATGACACTGGCTATTTAAGTTATTGTCATGCATAGGTGATAAAATATTCCCAGATATGCTTGGCAAGGCAGTAATTCCATGAAGAGGTTATGGTAATTAAAAACAAGAAACAAAACCATCAGAGTGATTTGTTCATTTGCCTGGACCCTGAAGAGGAATTAAGAGACTTCAGTGAAGACTATCAATTGTTCTGACTTTACACTGATCAACAGATTTCTCATCATCACTATTGCCTAGTTCAACTTTTATAAGCTTTTCCTTCTCCTTTTGTACCTAATTTGGATATTTTGGCTCTTGCTCTAAACGAAAACTATGGTTTATTGGTTATTTTGGTAGCTCAACTGAGTGAAGTAGATGTTATGTAAATGACCTTTAGAAAGACCTGTAGTAACTGGGTGTTGTGTTTTGCCCACTGCTGTTCTGAAGCAAGATTCCCTAGTTACCCTGATGTGTTAGAATGAGCCTAGCTTTTGGTCACCCTCACTTGGATCTTTTATGAGAAGAAATAATTACTTACTGGAGCATTTTGATGCAGTTTACTTTGGATATATGTGTGTATATTAATTGCTAGATTTGACCTATGGCCCACAATAAAAAGTAGTGTAATGGTAGTGCGCTGCTGGTACATGAAATTTTAATTTTTAATCTTAATTCTAATGTTCCTTATGATACTTGGACTATAAAATTGAAGCATAAAACCAAACAGCAGAGTATTTGTAGAAGTGGGTTTTGCACTTCGGACTGTCTCACTGCATGGTCATGCAGAGAGCTATACTCACAGAAAATTACACCCGGAAAATAATCTTTTAGTGCTTGTCCGGATCATTGTCCAGTCTCGCCAGTGCGAGGAGGGGATCCAGGCTGCAAAGCAGACCTAGGACTGTAAAATCCGTAATCTGGGTTGCCGTATCTTGCCGTGGGGTTGTGTGCTTGGGCCGGAAGTGCAAATAGCCGTATGTTTTCTGTGAGCTTGCTGAAGGCAAATCATTCACCTCTTGATTTTCATTAGAACTGCTCTGTTTGTGGCCGGGAAGTCAAAGCAAGCAGTTAACATCATGCCAGCATCATCACGTCTATTACAAACCCCCTATCTGCTTGCAGGTACGAGAGAGGATAACCGAAATAAATGAACCCATGTATTACTTTAAATTTCTGTTGTTACATTTGAAGTGATTAGCTGTTTTATCTCACAGTCTCTAAATATAGACTAGCTTAAAACTTCCCATTTAAAATCTGTATTTGTTTTTCATTGATGCTTTCATTTGAAAGCAGGAAACAATCTGAAAGTAATTGTATTAAGTGTTTCGGCACAAAGATTTTAAAATATAATAGCTTGGCACATTACTCTATCTTCCCACTATTCCTTGGAGGAAATAAAACAGAGTTCACAACTTTCATCCAGGCCGCTTTTCTACTACATCCTGTTTCCTTCCGCACGCCAGAGAAAGCACCGACATTCCTCTCCCTTTCCTCCGCTTCCGAGGAAGAAACCCCATTCTCCGTGGTGTAGCGCTCACTCTCGGTGAACACTTGTTAACTTTTCAAACGCCCGTGTAGGATTTGGGTTGTTTAGGCCTCCGGATCAAAGGAGAGCATTACAAAGAGCAGGGGAATATGCCCAGCTACCCAGAGAAGTGCCCTCGCACAGCTTTCCTGGGCGGTTGCCCTGGCTGCTTAGACTGCCTGAAGGGTGCCGAGCACCTCCCTGAGAGCCCTGAAGTGCTGTGGCTGTGCTTGCTGGAAGGCTGAAATCTCTGCTTTTCTCTCACTGAAAGGTAGAATTGCAGTCCCCCTTTCTCAAAGGAAAACTGACCCTTGGAAAGGCTTGGCATGAAAAGGATTAACTCCCTTGGAAACTTTGTTTGGAAACGTTAGGAGACTGCTATGTGTATACGCTGGCAACCTCCATAAGAGACAAATTATTTTCCCACCCTCTCAAGTACTTGGTAGTTTATCTGTTGTTTATATTAAAGATTGATCATGGTTATATATTCCTGACTCAGAGCTCTCATTAATCACACTGTGCCACATAATAGACTGGAGAAGAAGAATGGGGGTTGCTGGAAAGCAGACATGTGATCCCTGGCTCTGCTTTTAATACGACTTATCCTGACACAAGCTTTGTTCCTGTGAAGAATTGTGTTTGTGTAAAACCTCTTTTTTGTTTGTTGCCATGTTTGGTACGTCTGTTTTTCTCAAGGCTATTCAGAAAAAGATAATATACTTATTACAACGATTTCAGAGAATGTTAATCACGACACTTGCCGTGTTACTATTTCAAGAGGTCCCTGCTCCCCTCCGCATGCCCACCGCCTTGTTTGCTGGCCTTTGCTTCCTCCCCCAGCCCCAGCAGCCATTTCCTCCCTCTGAGCGGAGCCACGCAGGCGATTGTTTCAGCCTGTGCACAATGAAGGGGTGGAAGAGGACTGGTGGGGTGAGGACAAATGCACAAAGGCTGGGACTTCCTAAAGAGCAGCGGCTGCCAACAGAAAGCTGCTTTCTGCCACAGCAGCAGAGCTGATCTGCACCTCCTCCTCCTTGATCCTGCGGACGGCTTCCAGCCCTGA